TGAAGAGACATCTACTGAGTATTCCACCCAAGCACCAAAGGACATACTTTCTACTCAGCACCCCATGGAACCTTCTCCAAAATCAGCCACATACTGGGGCACAAAACAAACCTCAACACATACAAAAAGATTGAAAGAATTCCATGCATTCTATCAGACCACAATGCAATAAAGCTAACAATCAACACCAGAAGAAGCCCTAATCACCACATGAACACATGGAGATTAAACAACACACTCCTGAATGATGAATGGGTCAAAAGAGAAATTAAGAAAGAAATAAAAGTATTCCTGGAACTAAATGAAAAGGACAATACAACACAACAAAACCTCTGGGACACGCTGAAAGCTGCCTTAGAGGGAATTTTATAGCTCTAAGTACCTACATCAAAAAATCGGAAAGAACACAAATAATGACTTAACATTGCAACTCAAGACATCTGAAAAGCAACAGCAAATGAAACCCAAACCCAGCAGACAAGAAGAAATAACAAAAATCAGGGCAGACATTAATGAAATTGAGACAAAGAAAACAATACAAAGAATCAAATCTTCCAAGAGCTGGTTCTTTGAAAAGATAAACAAGACCTGGAACTAAGTTAAAATGATAGTACACCATAAGGAAACCTCTGGACACATTAGATAGCTGTTGATTACCCCCCGTTAGCAGTGCCACTACTGCAACAGTAGAGGTAGTTTTCTGTGCCAGTTGTTATGGTTATTAGACCTTGGGCTAGGTTGGACCATCGATCGATTCTCTTCCTTAGAAGGCTGCACAGTATCCTCTAGAACTACGAAAGCCAGATTTCAGGTGGAAGGTGTCGCAGTCAATTCCTGTTCCATTGCTCTGAGACTGAGGTGAGGGAGAGTAGACTATAGTGGATGAACTTGCACCCAAGGCCATCTGAGTACATGCTTGACAGGTTAGGACTTAACATGTATTGGGGAATGTATGCGGTCCAGCAGAGGAGGAAGATTTGAGGGAGTGGATGGGAGAGGGGGTCTAAATTTGTTTAAGAACTGTTGTGTGATCAAAAAAGAAAACTATAGATCCATATCCTCAATGAACATAGATGCAAAAATTCTCAACAAAATTCTTGCAAACCACATACAAACATATCAAAAAGATCATCCACCATGATCAAAAGTTGGCTTTATCCCAGAGATGCAGGGGTGGTTCAATATACATAAACCAATAAACGTCATTAATCATATAAATGGGCTCAAAGACAAGAACCACATGGTCATCTCAATAGATGCAGAGAAGGCCTTTGACAAAATTCAGCATGC